CACTATAATTGACCGAGATTGTACTAATTTGACTTCAATTGGACTAACTCGAGGTTGATTACGCTATAATTGACCGAGATTGTACAAATTCGACTTCAATTGGACTAATTCGAGTTCGATTACACCATAATTGACCGAGATTGTACTGATTTGACTTCAATTGGACTAATTTGACTTCAATTGGACTAATTTGAGTTCGATTACACTATAATTGACTGAGATTGTAATAATTTGACTTCAATTGGACTAATTTGAGTTCGATCACACTATAATTGATCGAGATTGTACTAATTCGACTTCAATTGGATTAATTCGAGTTGATTACACTATAATTGACCGAGATTGTACTAATTTGACTTCAATTGGACTAATTCGAGGTCGATTACACTATAATTTAGCGAGATTGTATTAATTCGACTGCAATTGGACTAATTCGAGTTCGATTACACTATAGTTGACCGAGGTTGTACTAATTCGGCTTCAATTGGACTAATTCGAGTTCGATTACACCATAATTGACCGAGATTGTACTGATTTGACTTCAATTGGACTAATTTGACTTCAATTGGACTCATTCGAGTTCGATTACACTATAATTGACCGAGATTGTACTAATTTGACTTCAATTGGACTAAATCGAAGTTGATTACACTATAATTTAGCGAGATTATACTAATTTGACTTCAATTTGACTTTGAGTTCGATCACACTATAATTGATCGAGATTGTACTAATTTTACTTCAATTTGACTAATTTGAGTTCGATCACACTATAATTGACCGAGATTGTACTAATTTGACTTCAATTGGACTAATTCGAGTTCGATTGTACTATAATTGACCGAGATTGTACTAATTTGACTTCAATTGGACTAATTCGAGGTCGATTACACTATAATTTAGCGAGATTGTACTAATCCGACTTCAATTGGACTAATTCGAGGTCGATTACACTATAGTTGACCGAGATTCTACTAATTCGACTTCAATTAGACTAATTCGAGTTCGATTACACCATAATTGACCGAGATTGTACTGATTTAACTTCAATTGGACTAATTTGACTTCAATTGGACTCATTCGAGTTTGATTACACTATAATTGACCGAGATTGTACTAATTTGACTTCAATTGGACTAACTCGAGGTTGATTACGCTATAATTGACCGAGATTGTACAAATTCGACTTCAATTGGACAAATTCGAGTTCGATTACACCATAATTGACCGAGATTGTACTGATTTGACTTCAATTGGACTAATTCGATTTTGATTACACTATAATTGACTGAGATTGTACTAGTTTGACTTCAATTGGACTAATTCGAGGTCGATTACACTATAATTTACCGATATTGTACTAATTTGACTTCAACTGGACTAATTCGAGTTCGATTACACTATTATTGATTGAGATTGATTAATTCGACTTCAGTTGGACTAATTAGTACAATCTCGGTCAATTATAGTGTAATCGACCTCGTATTAGTACAATTGAAGTCGAAATAGTACAATCTCGGTTAATTATAGTGTAATCGACCTCGAATTAGTCTATTTGAAGTCAAATTAGTACAATATCGGTAAATTAAAGTGTAATCGACCTCGAATTAGTCCAATTGAAGTCGAATTAGTACAATCTCGGTCAATTATAGTGTAATCGACCTCGTATTAGTCCAATTGAAGTCGAATTAGTACAATCTCGGTTAATTATAATGTAATCGACCTCGAATTAGTCTATTTGAAGTCAAATTAGTACAATCTCGGTCAATTATAGTGTATTCGACCTCGAATTACTCGAATTGAAGTCAAATTAGTACAATGTTGGTCAATTATAGTGTAATCGACCTCGAATTAGTCCAAATGAAGTAAAAAAATAAAATAAAATTAAAAAACGCTTTTTTTTAAAAAAAAAAAAACTGAAAAACGGATTTTGAAAATCCATTGTTCCTCGGCGCTGAGGACATCCCCCAAGGGCGGGGGATTTCTTGACATTTCGAATTGGCTGTCTCNAAATAAAAAATAAAAACGGATTTGGAAAATCCGTTTTTTAACAAAAAAAAATAAAAAAAATAATAAATAAATAAAAACGGATTCTCGGAATCCGTGTTTCATGGAAAAACGGATTTTGAGAATCCGGCTGTTTGATTTTTTTCCAGATAACTTTTTTTTGATTTATTTTTGTCCACGCATTATTATTTTTTTTAATTAAATAAATGATTCTAAAAATGACATACTTTTATTTATACTACTTTTTAAATTATGATATTTTACTTTAAAAGTATTCATATATAATGAAAAATAAAATTTTCTAACCATTATACCTAACAACACTCTTACTTTAAATTATGACATTTTACTTTAAATTATGACATTTTACTTTAAAAGTATTCATCTATAATGAAAAATAAAATTTTCTAACCATTATACCTAAAATTTTCACCGTCATAAGTTTTTTATAACCATTATCCAAACGTTTCATGCATTAATCAATTTTCTCAATTCAACTAAAATTTGATTCCAAATCATGGACAGTGGGTAGGAGATGGTTAATTTCATGGAAATGTTTAAAATTTGTCAGAAATTTAGGGGAAAAAAATCTGAACTTTAAGCTATAGTTAATGCCACGACTAAAAATTCAAGATTGATTGACGACTCTTAGAGTTGGTTACTCACTTAATAAGAGGTGTTGGATATAAGTTATTTCCATACGATAGTATTTCTATGACGAGTTAATCTACTTTGTCAGATTGATTTCCAACTGGTTTGTTGAATTATGTGTTGGCAAAATCTGGAATATTGATTTTTATAATATTATAATGAGAAAATTAATGGATGTTTGTTATGTATATTTTCGGTAGCACAATTTGTAAATCCGTTTGGTAGTGTAACATACTAACATGACCCTTTACATGACTTTGAAGCCGAGGACACAATTTGGGATGTCCTTCAAGTGTTTGTTCATCTAAGTGTAAAAATTAGATCACATACAAGCATACGTTGATCCAACAATAAAAATCCTAGGGCAACCTTTCATTGTGTACCTCGTGTCAAATCAATTTCTGGTAATTTCACATATCTAATGAACTACCAATTTTAAATTCCAAAAACCATCACCTCCACGCCTTGTCAAGACCAAGTCACAGATAGTTTATCCTAATTCAATTGGATTTCAATAAAACAAAGATCCAATGCTACTGTGAGCTGGCAGGATATATCCGAACCAACTCAAAAATCCATCTATTGCCAAAACCGGACCTTAAAATCAGATTTCAGAATAAACCTGCAAACACAGAACCTGCAAAAGCGAAAGTTCCATTGCGAAACCAGACCTTAAAATCAGATCAGAACAAATTACCAACACGAAACATGGAAAAGAATGTTTCANATAGACAAAGAGAGAGAGGGGGGGAGAGAGAGAGAGAGAGAGAGAGAGAGGTCACATTGTAGCAAAAAACTCTTAAGCAACAGCTAATACTCAATAACCTCACAAGGTCGACCAAATTTTCCCACAATATTTAACCAAGAAAGCATAAAACGAATACGCTTTAAAAATGCGACTCTGGCTGTTTACGCAAAAGGAAGGTATCTCAAGATAATTAATACCACGAACATGCTACGGTATTTACAGATACTCTTTACAGTGTTCCCCACAAAATCACCTTGCGTGACCAGAACAGCGTCAAAAGGTCCCAACTTTGTGGCCCTCATTTAATCTACAATTCCGCATTTGCCTATGTACACAATATCAAGAATCTTCCGCTAGAAACAATCTTAGTAAACAATTCTCAACACTAAATTTTACTTATTTTAGGTTGCAACTGCCCACCCCCACCCAATTAAGACAAAAACATTTTCTTTTTTTTCCTCTTTTTCTTTTTNTATAGATATTCTACACCATGGCAACAGCACGGGTATTCGGGCAATCAAAGCCTTCGATTCTCACGGCTGCTTGTTCTTTACCCAACTGTTCTCTAGAATGATGAGCCGACTCATTAGGGGAGTTACAAATGGAACTTAGCTTATTTGGATCAATTCCAAAACGTGCATCTTGCACTAAAGGATTCGAGGCTCTGCATGGAGGGGATCCAAAGAAAAACGGAGGTGATACCGACCTTTGAAAATCATCCTGTAAGAGATTAACAGAATTATATTAGGCTCCATAAAATTATCGCTTCGTGCGAGTTGTGCATATAAAAAATAATTTCTGTAATCTGTATTAACTCGGTTTGACTTTGGTGATTTGTAACTCGATCTACTTTCAGAGGGGAGTAAAATCGTAGTTTCTTGGACGAAATCTAAACTAGATTCACCAAGACTTGGCTAGTAGTGTTTAAGTTCAATGTTATCTTGTTCAAATGATCTATACTGAAATCTGGGATAGGAATTCCTGGTTTAACTCATGCTAAATGATTAAGACTGTGGTTTTATACATGTAAAAAGAAATCAACATCACATATTTATTCAACATAGTGAAATTGAAAGTGGAGCAGACTAAAAATCTTGAAAAGGCGAATTTGGATGAACAATCAAAGTATTTATCTATACAAGCATTGGTAGAAGTTTCTTCCTGACCAGTTTGGCCTCCTAACCACATAATTAGCTATTAGCATGTTAAAACATACGACTCATGTACATATAACATACCAAAAACCTCGTCAAGAAAAAACAAAAAAGAGCACTGGGATTTTGAACCATAGTAGCACATGGATGTGAAGTGACTGCATACAGATTAACCAATTAATCCATCAAAACCATCGAAAAAGGAAAGGAAGATCTTCAGGCACGACGTAACAAAAAAAAAGGGAGGAAACAAAAAAACTCTCGGAGATGACGCTCAATCAAGTTTCACTATAGCTAAAATCATCAATTAATACAAATAAATACGGACATGTCTACCTTTAAGATTAAACCAAGCAATTCAGCACCCGGTTTCGACTCGGCATCGTCACTGTTCCAGATTAATAAACTTTTAACACATTTTTTTCAAAATTGATAAAACCTAAATATGCCCAGCGGAATAGATTAGAAGGAAAAGAAATACCGCAGGCGAGATCTCAAGGGAACCACCACGGACGGCCCGGCCCGACGAGGCTTAGGGCATACAACCTGACCCATAATTGCCTTTGGGTCTTTGCAACAATCCATTTTCTCCAGTTTTTCACACGTAAGACATGTGAATTTTGCAAGACAAAACTGAGCGAGATGCTATTTTGGGAGAGAAATAGGGTGATATTTCTGGGGAATTAGTAAAAACTGTTGGGAAATGTTTATAAAGGGAGAACGATGAAAGCAATGGCAAGTGAAAGGGCTAACTTGGAAATGTACTTATCGACTCATTAGTCGATAATTATAATCGTGTAATCTAAATTCAGTAAATAATCTGTCGAGAAGCAAACAATATTACAATGGAAGAGAATCACATTCTAGAATTTTGGGGTGTGCAGTGTGATTGGATATAACTTTTGGATTGGATATTTTGGTTTTATGGATTGGATATTTTGGTTTTAATTGGCTTTTGGTTCCAAATATAATTAATTTTGAAAAAGTTGATTGTGTTAGTTTGAGTGAGATTTTTAGTTTGTATTAAAATAATTTTTAAAATAAAATTATTAAAATTGGTTTGATGTAAAAGTAGAAGAGATGATTGGATGTGATATATATAGTTCAAATTATGTGAATGGATGAATAGTATATTAAATTTGATGTGACGTGTGAGAATACTAGGTTGTAGATCGTCTCTTCGACGAAAACCATCCCTCAAAGGGGAGCTCTTTTCTACTATTGTAGATGGAGGTTCGGTTCCGAAGCAGATGTTGAAGTTATCACCCTAGCTTGTGTAGCCTATGCGAAGCAAGCCCACACTGGCTCTCAATGAGTTTATGGGAGGAGAGCAAAGTGAGACTCGACGTCAAGGATACAAACTTTTCGAAGCGAAGTGAAGGAATGGAAATGCTTGAGGACCAAGATTTATCATGATCAAGCCGTTCATGGGAAGAAGGGCTTGATCATGATAAATCCGTCCGATCTTCGATCCTTCTCAAAAAAGAGCTATCAAAGTCTCCGCCCCGTAGGGAGACTCTTTCCTACTCTCATCTCAGATTATTGATAACACAGATATGGGGAAAAGGGGTAAGTAGATATTTCCGCCAATCAGTCGTGCTAGTAGGGAACTTAGGTCATTAGCTCTTTCGTAGGATTGGTTGGATGAATGATGATATTTTTTTTTTTTTGGTTTATTTGATGATATTTTTTAAATATAATGAGAATATCGAGGAGAGATGGAATTTTTAGTTAAATTTGAGTTGTGATTGAAAAAATTCAATCACAACTTATATGCAAGAACTACATTGATAGTGTGCACGTCATCCACAAAAAAAACCATACATACATACATACACATAAATATATATATATACACACCATTTGATTTGTCCAATGAATGGTTGAGATGAAGTCAACTATAACTAAAGGCACATTGACTACGCGGTAGCATGGTCGTAAATAACTCCAGGATACAAACAAATGCCTAAGTGATAGAGCATTATCGTCTTTCAAAACAACATAGGGTAAATGGTTTGATTTCAGCTCCATTAATTTGCTACGCATATCTAGATGGGCGATTTACAGTGAAGAAGATGCTCGTTGAGGAATGGCTTCGGATTTTCAATCATTGAAGGACTTTTGAGCTTATTTTCTCCTCTGATTTCCATGTGCAAGTAACGGTTGTCCCTATTTCAAATTTTTATCCAGTTGTTGAGGGAATAATCGCTTGGATTTCATACAATTTAGGGTTAATAGTTCGGGAAGATTCGAAAAATGGGAAACTCTCCACAATCGAAAAAACAAAGTAAGATTACCTTCAATTTCATCTATATTAGTCAGTTTTATAGACGTAACATTGTTCTTTTCATTATTGAGAG